CTCTCTGATCTGCTACAACCGTATGTCCCACCACGTTCCCTGAGGTCAGCGGACCAGTTGCTCCTCACAGTTCCAGGAACTCGTCTTAAGTGCAGAGGTGACAGGGCCTTCTCTGTAGCAGGACCAAGACTTTGGAACGAGTTACCTCTGCTTGTCAGACAGGCCCCCTCCCTCTCGGTTTTTAAGTCCCGTTTAAAAACTCACTACTATTCAGCAGCTTTCAACACCAGATGATCTGTGTTTGATCCTGTATGCTCCACACTGGTTTGTCGTCATTATCTGCATCGTTTTTATGTCTATATTCTGATTTACCTCATTTTGTATTTTGCTTTGTGTGTTACCTGTTGTTCTGTCTGTACAGCTCTTTGGTTGGCCTTGTAGCTGTTTTAAGTGCTCTATAAATAAAATGGTATGGTATGGTAGTCTGTCATCGTCTTTGAACGCTACCTCAGTCTGCCTGCGTGCTCCTCGTGTGCACCTCCTGTTTAACTTCAGTTTTTGTTGCTGCCCTGTCAGCTCTTCATGTATGTTATTAAAGCACACGTTAGTTTTTAATCCGTGTCCCAGTGTGCATTAACATTAAGCAACACTTCATTCTGTTGAATTTCTGTTTTTATAAGGACAATTAAAACAGTAATAAGTTGTTTAAATACAATTAAGTGATGCAAGTCAAATATAAGAAAAATAAATCACAACAACACTTACCTCCTGGAATGAATCATGTTTCTCCTCCATTTGCAACAACACTCTGTCTCACTGTGTGAACGACTGCAGACAGAGATTGAAATATTTCTCAGCCGGCTTCTGCAGAGCGCCTGCTGACCATAAATCTGACTGAGTTTATAATCTGAGGCTGGGAGGGGTCTGCATTGTGCACGCTCAGCCCACAAGTCAAATATAGACCTACTTCCTGTTAAAAGTTCCACTCTGACTTTTGTCACAGCAGATTCTGCTTCTTCATCACGAAGACCAATGCACAAGTTGAGTTATCAAAATTAATTAATGAAGACTGCTTCTGTTTGTCAGCCGTATAGAAAAACTGAAGCATTAACAGAAGAGGCTGCTCGCCATCAGCCTCATCAACATGTCCTCAAATATCACGACACTTTGGACACACAACTCAAGACACAGCATCTTTTAAGTTAACATAAAACAGACCGTTCTCATTTAGCATCTTTTAATTTAACATAAAACAGACTGTTTCATTTAGCATCTTTTAATTTAACATAAAACAG